GAATATTATACCCATTGGTTTGTGCTGATTGACGAAATCATAATGCATTTCATTAAAATATTTGTACTTATTCATGCATTATAAAATAAAATTATACTGTGGGATTGTACATCAAATGTTGAGAAATACAACTTCAGAACTATAGTTAAAATAATATTCTAGACCAAGTAGCTAATCACGTTTCCAAAGCAAACCATAAACTCAAATTTAATGAATAAAATTACCTCAAACTGTATTACCCAAAATAAGTTCACAAGTAGAACTGAAATCTTCCTACCTAAATGAGATTTAAATCTCAGCTCCAAACTTCTTGCATGAATCAGTGTTTGAGTACCTCAAGAGTCAGAAATCTGAACATTTTGGTCAATGTTGTCACTTTTCCCCAATTTTCACCCATTATCCCTCCTGTTTCAAGTAGAGTAACTGACGAGGAAATACAATTAAAGGGCAAACAATGTTCCCCCAATAACTGATCTAAATGACCATTCAGCACGGATAAGCTTATACAATTGATAAAGGATTGTTACTGCATTGTGTAGATCCTCTCAACTGAATACAACTTCATTCTAAATTTGGGAGAAGCAAACTGCATCTCCGCATATACCATCATAAATATGTTGTGCTGACATGTACTGATTAATGTTATTGTATACAGCAACTATAGAAATGCATTCTAACCATCCCTCCTCCCACCCTTCCAAGATCTTCACATTTACACATCTCCAGCTGGTATCAAGTTCTTCTTTTCACATCTACATTATCTGTGTTAATTTGGCATGAACCAGGAATCAGACCAGAAACTTTCCTTGTACTTCCGCATATATACATTAATAGAAATGCACGAAACAGTTTGTACCATATTCAGTTCAGTGACCAGATTATTTTAAGCAATTCCCCTTGCTTAGATTTTTTTTAATTTTCCCTCTACTTCATGGAATATCATTATAGAATTACATTTCCCATCCTTACATTGAAATTACATTTCGAAAGCAGACTATTCAGCCTAACTAATTTCACGTTCTTCCATCTTCAGTTCAGTTCCTCTGTTTCTTTATATGTTTCAAGGGTGAGGTATTCCATCCCAAATATATGAATATCAACACTATATCATACTTGCTTTACCTATTTGTTCTAGCACTTCTGTTAACTTCTTTGCTTCTGGCGAGTCTGGATTTTTTTTCAATAAGTCATGTAAAGTCTCTTTCAGCTTCTCAACTTTTCCAGAATTCTGTTCAAGCTCAACAAGAAATGCCTAACGACGAAAGGAGTTTAGTGATCAACAACTTTGCAAACTTGCATTTACTAAAATACAGTATTATTTGACATTTTGAAATATTTATTTATTGTAGAATTACACAGTAGCACAATTAATTACACAAGATCATCAGCTCTTGAAGAATCAAGTATACTTTGTTTTTAGACCTCATTTTATGTAACATAAATTGCAAAAAATTAAAATCCAGTCAGAATATGACTAGAACCTAAATAACATTGAAATCATGAAAAGGAATAAAAAAAGTTAAATATATCTCATACTATCTGGCTAAAAAAATACTTTTCAACTTGTGTACACTGATCAGAACGTAAACAAAGTAACAAAAAGAGTCAGAAACTGGAGCTTTGGTTTCTTAAATACGAGAAGACATAGCTCATGAATGCAATCTATGTACTTCATGAGGTCACAGAAACTGTGTTACCTTTGCTCATTAACCCATCTACATTTGAGAGCAAGTCAAGCTAAAGTAAGCGGAATTATATTTGTTTCTCAAATTGAGAGAGAGTGTTTATTCACACATATCAGGACTGAAAATTCAGGTCTTCAGATGAAGAAAGTTATACAATTTGATGACCTGAGCTCACATTGAAGAACTGAGCCTTCACAGCAATTAACCTTATGAATGTTCCTGAGGTTCAGACTCAAAATATTCAATCTGAATGATTAAATGAAGATGGAACACATTTTATTTTGCTCCAAAAAAAACCTGACAAGTTAATTGGCCTATTTTCTTTCTATTTGTTTCCTCTGATCAACATAACTAGCTCCTCCTTTTCCTTTCTCACTAAAGCAACAGCATCCAGTTATATAATAATGGGAAATCATCAGTTTCAGAAGTTTAATTTGCTACAATATCATAATAATTTAAGTGAGATATTAGTGACAATGTGAGATTACATTTATACTATCAATTAAGTTTGTTACATTCACCTTGTTTTGCTCTACTTGTGTTTTCATAGCTTGAGCTTTAGCCGGTGATGAATTCAAGCTGGTCAAAGAATGCTCTTTTAACTCTAGCCATTTCATAACAGAATTGGTTTCTTCTTGAACCTCTTGCATTTGCCGAATTGTGGCCTGAAGGTGGTCCTGACATTCCTCTAGTACATTTCCAAGGGTCTTATAATCATGGTTCACATCAGAGACACTTTGTTGAATTTCTGCAAGATCTACAAAAGGCAGATACAGTGGAAAAGTAAACAACTGGCCAAAAGGAGACAGTTTGTAGCCATGATCTTTAGAGGATCAGAGAAATCTTCAAATGATGAAACAATCATTGTGAAATTATATGTATCAATGCATGATATTTACAAATAGTGGTTTGTCTACTGTTACAGAAATGTATGGTTGTACATTTGATTCTTAAAAGACAAATCTATATATTCTTAAAAGTCTCATTTGCTTTTAGACTCCGAAAACTTTCTACTTTAATAAATTCACTTGGCAATTTTACCTGACAGCATGCGTCAGCTACAAGCAAGGGAAGAACAACAATAGACTACTTTAGAGATAGTAAGAACTGCCAATGCTGGAGTCTGAGATAACACAGTGTGGAGCTATTTTCGGGTCGAGACCCTTCTTCAGAAAATTTTCTGAAGAAGGGTCTCGACCCGAAACGTCAGCTTTCCTGCTCTTCTGGTGCTGCCTGGCTTGCTGTGTTCCTCCAGCTCCACACTGTATAATAGACTACTTTAGGCTTTACTTGGAAGCTGTTCCAAACATGCTTATATAGCAGTGACGAGGATACGGTCCACTCCAAGGAACCATGTAACAACAGTTTTTTTAACTCAAGCGTTATTAAATATCCTTGTATAACTGACAATTTAAAAATATTTGACAATGTCACATTCCTTTTATCTGGAGAAGCTCATACAATTAAAAGGGTTACTCCACAACTATCAATTATGGTTTTTCCTTAAAGAATGATTGTTTAGGTTGTAAAACAAATACCCAAATAAACTGGGACATTAGAAATGTTGTCAACCAAAGCTTGTATTCCAGTACACATAAGGGTACAATAAATTAATTGTTAATATTTGATTTTACCCTCATTCACATTCCTCTATGAATCCACTCATGGAGAAAGATAGTTGATGATACAACAGAAACACACCTCAGATTTCCTATGTTCTCACCTTTGTTTCGGTGGTACCCATTCATACTAGGTGCAGTCACTCCACCATTCATCATTACAGAACCTGAGTAAACAACAGGGAGACATAACAGTGCACAGGACAGCCAGTATTAGGAACAAAGCTGAGCACAGACATAGGCTCCATCAGCAAGAAATCACAAGACACTAATAAGCATTGTACTACAGATGGAGCTGGCTTTCAAAAACAAATGCTTTGTGTTGTGTGATAGCTGTACATAAACCATAAATACATTGCTGATGTTGCAGTAAGCATGGATAGTTTAATTAATAACATACACCTACATACACAGCTAAGCTTTAGTAGTGTTATCTTGTAGATAAGATTGTGGAAAATCATGCCATACACACTAAGGCACAAAGAAAATTAAGCAGCGTAGCATCTTTATGAATTCTTTATAAATGCTCATTGCATCCAAAGTGCCAATCTTAGTTCAGTGGTAGCACTCCTTTTTGGTGCCATAGAGTCATATACCACTCCAGGGACCAGAGTATATTGTTCAGCCTGACTCATGTATGCAATACTGAATGAACGTAGGAACATGAAGGGACCATCTTTCAGATGAGACATGAAAACAAAGTCCTACCTGCTTTCTTGAGAAAAAGATCTCATGGCACTGTTTGAAGAGAGGCAGGGGGAGTTCTCCCTGTGTCCTGGCCAATATGTATCCCTCGATTAATACCACTAGAACAGATTATCTCTTTTTTGCATAGCTGTTTGTGGAAGTTTGCTGTATTTAGCTACATTGTTTCAATAACTACAAAGTGCTTCACTAACTGCAAAGCACATTAAGATTGTAAAAAGTGCTGCATAAATCTAAGTTCTTTCCATTTAAGAAGGTTGAACTTTGTTACACCAACTGCACTTATTTCTTGTTGCTACGATAAGTTTCTCTGACTGAAACAGAGAACGCCTTTGGCCTGATGCATTGTCAGTTTATGTAGTTAATGGAATTTTGTGGAACACAGTCTCAAATTATACGTTCAGGCATTATTAAAATAATAACTGATAGCAAGCTTCACTGCTTTCTTGTAACAAGCACTACAAATATTCCTAGTTACATAATATGATCATAGGGTGAAGGAACAATTACAGTTTTCCTCAGCAGAATTTCTTTAAAAGAAGAGCTGAATTAAATTCAAACTTTGCGTGCATGTAATGACGTAGTTGCTCGTATTGGGAAAATGAGGGGCATGGGCCATATATTTACTCACTTGGATGGATGCATACTATTAAGAAACATGAAACTACATTAAAAAAGGAATATAAAAGGTACACTACAACTTTTCTAAGATAAAATAAGCTACGTAGAAAGAACATACTGACCAAATTAGCCTATGTTGACATGGCAAGCACATAAATCAAATAAAGTTGATTAGAAATAGTGACTCTTCTTAAATAAAAAATTGAAGCAAATCACAAACAAAGCTGAAACGCAAGAGCAACTGGATAACATGAAAGGATTAGAAATGCAATGCAATTAGTAAGTAGTTATTGTGACATGCTTGATTTAGGGTGTTATAAAGTGGTTCATTATTTACCAACATCGCAGCATTGCCAAGAATAAATGGGTTGGGAAAAACCCAATCATGGCTGTGCCATCAGGTAGCTAAACATTTCCAAAGGTATGAAGAAATAAAAATCATTCTCGTTCACTCTCAAATATTTGCAGATGACTGAATGATTGTATTGAGAAAAGTTGAGAGTTGGTAGTTTCTGTTTTCTTTTTACAATAAATCATACATTACAAAGAGTCTAAAGTTATTTTTAAAAATGCACAAAAATCAAGTTAACTGCATTTTCATTGATCTTTTGCTATTACCTGTTTTACTGGACAATAGGGAAGTATCAGGTGATGTTATCTCCATGATGAGACTTTCTAACTGGGTTCCTTTATGATTTATTTCTTGCACATGTGAAGATTTTGATGACCAGTCCTCCAACAGGATCTGTGAAATCAGTGCAAGCCATTTTATTACATTGTCTAATTCCAATTTTATACATGTATCTTTTTTATATCATGATTTTCACTCATCCCAGGAGAACGGCAAATATTATAAACAAATTTACTAGTAATCATCTTGTCCGAGACCATTCTCCCTTCCCTCAAAAATTTTCATGTTTCATTCTATATAATGACATGACTAATTTAAGAGTTTGAAGAACCAAATAGAAATTCTAATTACATAGCCATCTTGCACATCAAGATTCAAAATCGGTTTTGTTCCATAGATTCTCAAATTCTGCATTTTGTTTTCTTTCAGCTTTCTCACCTTTACTTGTTGGATCTGTTTCTCCAGCACATCTGTATCAAGCGCAGATTCAAAAGCTGGCACACTAGCTTCTGTTTCCTTTAACCATTTTTTAACTGACTCTACCAGACATGTGAATTCATTCAGGTGTTGCTGGCAGGATAGTGCTTCTTCTTCCCTGAAAAACGCAAGCCCAAATGTTTATATATTTGTTTTTCATAATTTCCAATAATAAGATTAAAATAGTTCACATTTGTCTAATGTTTTAACATCTGCTTGATGGATATATTTAAAACACAGATTTTGTTTTACTTTACACAATTTGCAGATTACCATCACTCCTCTTCATCATTGAAAGTGGGGAGTCATCAAGAGCAGTGACTGTGCAGCTGAGCCGTCCTAGTGACACACAACTTTGACTAGCACCTCTACTGAGTAGCCAGTAGGAGGAAGAATTTCAAACAAGGCAAATGTATTCATCTATGAGATCCAGTCAGGTACCTGCTTAACATCAGTTCAATGGTCATGAAGTTAACATTGATGGGTCTACAAAATAACTCATCAGATCCAGGCTTTGTTGTAGATCAGTCATCATTTCTAATACACATCAATATTTTCAGCTCTAACTCAGAACATAATAGTACTTTGAACTTGCTATTAATAATGGATTTTCAGACTGTTGAGAATTCTACCTATGAAAAATACTTGAATGTATCATTCAGGGAGCAAATAATCCTTCGTACAAGAACGGAACCTTACAAGCATGCTAATTTTTCATACAAATCCATTGCTTCAAGAAAGGATCACCGGACCAGACATGTTAACTGTTTTTTTCCCCTCACAGATGTTGCCAGACCAGCTGAGCTTTTCCAGCAACTTTGTTTTTGTTCCTGATTTACAGCATCCGCAGTTCTTTTGGTTTTTAAGACATTTTAAGTTTGATTAAATTTAAATAAAAGGAAACTTGAGAATGTAAAGATTACTGAACAAATCAACAAAAATGGTTAGGATCTGCAGCTCATCTAATAGTGACATCATCAAGAATCTGGTGAAAAAAGTCTCAAATCCAATTTCAAACTGATGATTTTAGAGATAATGAAATCAGAAGTAAAACTGAATTGATGCTGAAATCATTCATGCCATTTTCAAACCGAATCTACAGTTCAACTACGTCTGTGGAAATTATTTGATCAAATTTATTGAGATAATGTTGCTGTTCACCTATATTCAAATGGTTAACTATGATAAATCTTATGCTCAATTTATGATCCGGAGCTAAGCTCTCTGATCCCACATCCCAGCGCAATAAATGTTAGCTTCTATAGCTGCAAAACACTGACTGCCCAACTGTCCCTAAAATCCTCAGAATTTTGTCAGATCCAGACTCAAATGGATTCCCGGACAACAAGGCGTAGAGCTGGACAAACACAGCAGGCCAAGCAGCATCAGAGGAGCAGGAAGGCCGACGCTTCGGGCCTAGACCCTTCTAGTTTTCTATCATCCAAAGTGTGAATAGTTTGTCTTTGGAAAATGACATCCTTACTCTATCTTGCATCAAGACCTCTTTATCCAACATGTTTACCTTCACTAATCCACATTGGCCTTACTTCTACCTGTGATGCAGATTGTAATTTGAAGAGACCACTTTTCACTTTGATGCCAACTCCATAGATACCCTACAATGCTGCAGCTACCTATCCCTGTAACCCTGCTTTTACGATAGCTAATCCGCCTAGCCTGCAAATCCCTTGACAGTATGGGTAATTTAGCATGGCCAATCCACCTAACCTGCACGCTTTCGGACTGTGGGAGGAAACCGGAGAACGTGCAAACTCCACACAGACAGTTCTTCGAGGTTGGAATTGAACTTGGGTCCCTGGCACAATGAGGCAGCAGCGTTAACCACTGAGCCATTGTGCCACCCTTCTGGGGGAATGCATGGACAGAGTGAAGTGGCCAAGTCATAATTCTAATGCAGACATGCTTTTCTCATCACGAACTGAACACGTAGCCCTCTGACACATATAATGACTCTCACGTTGTTTTAAATAGAGCTGTCAACATCCGCACTTCCATAACCTTCTCTCACTGATGTATGATCATCACAACACTCCTTACCCCTTTGACAAGGCTCACCACTTTCTTCCTCCCTCCCTCCCTCTCACCTCCACTGCATGGCTACCTCACTCCTTTCTTCTACCCTGCACCAAGGCTAATCCCCTCCTTCATGACTACAATACAGCTCACCTCCTTCTTGAACCCCGAGACACTGTCACCAACCATTCCCTCACCCCACGACACAGCTCACACCCTTCCTCAACCCTATTAGGCACTCACTGACCATTCCCTCCTTTACCGCCGTAATACAGCTCACCCTTCTCCTCCAATCCCGAGACACACTCACTCACCATTCCCTCACCTCCGCAATATACCTCACCCTCCTCCTTGTACCCCGAGACACTGTCACCAACTGTTCCCCGAGCCCACGACACATCTCACCCCCTCCTTCAACCCTGTGACACACTCACCAACCATTCCCTCAACCCTGTAATTCAGCTCACCCTCCTCCATGAACCCTGACCCTCACCCTAAGACACACCCTTCTCCTTCAACCTTGAGACACACTCACCGACTACTCCCTCATCCCTTCCCCTGCCTTCTCTCATCCCTTCAATAATTGACTCCTGGGATAAGGCTCACCTCATCCTCCACCCCTAAGACATGGCTGAACGCCACCTCCCTCATCCCTTCAAAGTTCATCCATTTTCTCCCTCACTCCTTCAACAAGGCACAGCCATGCCTTGTCACTGAACAATGATCTTGTTTGATACAGTGAAACCTAAATTATTTGAATTAACTGAGCCAGGGCATATTCTGATACTTGATCAGTGTTTTGATTATCCAAAAACAAGGCAATTTTGGTTTTATTTATATATTACTGATTCCCTCTCACTAACACATTAGTTTTGAGCTTGAAATCTAACCAAATCATCATACATTTTCTGGTATACACACCATTTTATCCCTTCAAAAGATCCTGATCTGGATGACAAGATTGATTTGAAGGGTAAAGAATACCAAATATGACTAATTATTAAATATGCAGCATTAGAACCTTCGCTGATCTTACAATTATTTTGATTTTATATTTTGATAATTTTTGGCTTGGACTTATGATTAACGAGCTGAAGTTGACCTTTGGACAGCGATCAGCAGCTTACTTAAAAAAAAACAAACTGATATTTGACTTACAAGGCCAGCCCTGGACATGAATTGCAGGTTGATTTTTATTCAAAAGATGCTCAAGGATTATTCAAAGAATTCTTGTTCAAAGAACATCTTGAGTTCCACAGAAGCATTATGCTCAAACATGTGGCAGATGTTTAAAAGCTAACAGGGGCCTCATAGGGAGGCAACCAGTCTAATAAAGAGAAATCAAAGGTTGAACTGATTTTGAAAGGTGTTTAAATCAGAAGGAGTGTCCTTGTTAAAGCTTTGAGACGGAGATTTGATTGTTCCATGGTTATTATCTCATTATCAACTTATTGAAAGTTCAGAGAATAGCATCTCAATTACAAGTATTAAGTGAATATCCCTCAGAGTCTACAGGAAGCTATTTGCATGCATCAGTGTCTCCAGAATCCATGTAAAATACAATCCCATGTGCTTATGAGATTATGGATTATGGAGACATCTTAAGTGACCTGTCCAGTTACATCCCATTTATTTTTTCTTTTGATTTATCCTTTGTCTGCGTGAGAGTGGGAGTTAGAATCAAAGAAGATGGGGTTTAAATCATCGATATTAATTAGAGATTGCCTGGCTGTTTAACTTCCTCTGCTGAAGGTATGGTATTATTAGTAAATTGTTAAATCTTTTAGGCTATAATCCTGGTTTATGGTACGAGTTATTCAAAGTTTAGTACTGGTTATTCAAAAAGTCTGGTTAGGAACCACTGGGGTCAATTTTGAAGGACACAATGCTTTAATTTAACTGTGTTGCAAATACAGGGATAGGAAGGCTGATTTGATTTGGCTGCCTTTGTGTCATAACAGAAGTTAATTCCTTTGACCAGTATTTTGATTGAACATCTAGTTTCAATGTTCTGAAGTACTTCAATTAATAATCCATTGCCACCAGGTCATAAATGGAATAAAAGCAAGAATCTGTATTGTGATTGGAATCAAAGACAGTATTGATTGATGCTGCCAAAAGCGATGCACAGGAAGGCTCTTTACAAACTTAAGCAGGCTCCCAGCAGCAGCACCCTGTCAAAAAAAACCATGGGAAAACCTGAAGATTCCTTGCTGCCTTGCAAACATTTAGTTTTGTAGCAAATTAATTTTAAAAGGTGTAATTCCATTTTCCAAACTGCTACTCATCAATACAACAAAGCTCAGTTTCATTGTTGGTGACAACTGTTGAACCACAACAAAGTATAACGAATAAGTTTGGCACTTTCTTATTTTCAATAAGATCAAAGCCCTCCAAAATTTGGAATGTGTCACAAGAAACATTCGAGAATTAACCAGTAGATACAAAATAAATGGAAAAACTTCATGCAAAATACACAATTTGATGCTGTGCCTAGCACAACACCTAGTAATTGTAGTTGATTTTCTCCTGAGACAGATCACCATGGATATTACACAATCTGAAATCAACTGACCTGGCAAGGAGAAAGGGCTCACAAGTCCCTTGTTTTATCAAGCACACAAAGAAGATTGTTATGACATAATCATCACACAGTGTTTTTTTAAATAACCCAGTCGCATTGGAAGCTTCCAAGAGAATCAAGTGTTGGCTGCCTTATGTGGGCCACGTATACAACTCCAGACACAGAATTGGTGTGTTATTAGAGCTCGTGTCTGACAGCAAATCCTGATAGATACTAGGGTAGTTCACACATGAAGGAAGGGGCTTGGGCTTTAATTTTCAGTTGTATACATTGCATTACAACTATATCCATCAGACCCAACAGTGACAAATTAACAGATAGGTAGTGTTAAGAATAACACAAAGTATCCGTGACATGAAGTGAACTTATGACATTTGTCCTGCCAGTACCAGTCTACTTGATAAAATCACTGGTGTGACAACAATTTCTGACTTAACATGCAAATCTCAGCCTAAGCAAAATCTTGAAACAATGCATGAGAAAGGATCTATATCAAACACATGTACATGTACTTTTTGTCATGTTTACATTAAACACGCCTTTGGACTGGAGCTGCTAAATACCCTCAACTGTGTGGTGTGCTTGTGGCACAGTTTTGTCAATTAACAATCTAAAACCTCTTTTTTATGCAAACAAATGGGGACAAATGATGAACAACTCAGCCAAACCACCAAGGTTTTTCAAATGGAGACACACAACCAATGATGAGCAAAGCTGTATAAAAACAAAACAATGCAGAAACTGGAAGTCTGAAATAAAACAGAAAAATGCTAGAAATAGTCAGCAGCACAAGCAGCTTCAGTGGAGAGAAAAAACAGAGTTAAGATCCATGACCTTTCAGTGGAAGCATACTTATAGCCCTTGAAGCCTCATAGTGATGACAGAGTTATGAAGTCATGAAATAATAATAGTACCTGTGCTTGCAGACACAGCAGGCAAAATGCTTAGGAGGCCCAAAACTAATTCAATTAGTGCCAATATCAAACAATATGCATCATGTCAAATTAATGGCATGACCAATAATGTCCTAATTTAACCAAATGAACAAGGACATTAGCAGTTAGACAAATTAACAGAGGTGACAGGTTTAGCTTAACTTTTCGCTTCACATGTGATATATTTACAGAGATGCAATACACAAGGATGCTTTCTTTTGTCAGATGCTACCTACCAGAATAATAAGATTGTTTTTTGGTTGATTCACAAATTCATAAATCAACACAATATTGTCTGGTCACAATGTGCAGGCATCTGCACCATTGGAGCAAAGGCAATGACTGGTAGATGTAGTCAAATAGTGACATGTATCAGAGGGCTATTACTCCCAAAGTTATGTGGATGCATGCAATATGCATAAGAAAGCACTCACTATCTAAACAAGCCTATTGTTATAAAGCGGAGGTTGATCCCCTTCTCGGAACTAAAACTAAAACAACCCGAAGAGGAGCACCTTGCCCTATAATCTAAAAAGGAAAGTGAAAAGTGGTGCAACCTGCCTTTTAGCAACTACTAGTGGTTAAATAAAATAAATCCCCAACACTCACTTTAAAATAAACAAGTGACAATTCATTTATCTAACTCTAACAGTGAACAAATTAACTAAACTATCAACAAACTGAATAAATCCCTTCTAACTGTTCCTGAATAAAGCAAGATTCTAATGGAATGCTGTTCCAATAAATACAAGTTCCACATGTATCAGAAAAAGAATTTAGTCTCATGAAATTAGGTTACGTGCCTTCCGAATGTTCTGTGCCTTCACAGTCAATTTTTCTGTCAGGAACATCAACTAGCTGTGCTGTTGGTAGCATTGCTATTGAGATGGTGCTTTCTCCAAGACATAGAGGAGGCTGTGAGAGCCAGCGATTTTTTCTCGAGAACAGAGGGCAGTTAGCTCTGGCGGATGGCAGCTAGCTCTGTGGTTTTGTCCAACTGTCCCCTTCTTTTATACCATTGATGACATATTAATATTTCTTACAATAGATTGGTTCTGACAACATAGGACCATCAGGATTTAAATTTAATTGGTTTTTGGTATCTAAGTGACTGGTTCAAATTGGTTGGCTAAATTCAAAAGCCTGTTGTCTTGGTAAAACCTGCTGCTTGGCCTGCTAACTGTATGGCCTTTTGATCCAAATGTTTCAATTCAGGTGCTCTGTATACTTGCAAACTTTCAAGCTGCTGCTCATAGAAATCCATTTTCAATCTCTAAGCACAGAAAAACACATCATCTTTCAAAGGGACTATGCAATGCATTCCCCCCTAGCATTTTACTAACACTAAATTCTAACTGCCTTCCTCCCAATCCACAAGTGCTCTACCCAACTTCGCAACAGTACCAGTTTGAAAGAGGTCCTGGATGATGCTGTGATAATGGTAAATTAATTAATGAATATTTTCTGTTCTATGTAACAAAGTGAGCATGTCAATCTATTGTTCCATGGAGGGGCTCGATAGCTGTCAAGTCAAGATTTTGGCATGTTTTATAAATAAACTGTTCAGCACTCAGTAAAAGTAAATATTTATATTGATAACACGCTCCTGTTCTCTCATTGTCTTCATGAGATGGACAATATTAAGATGTATTCTCTCTCCTGAAAGAATTACGTTGCAGGCAAGGAATGAGATTTTTCTGCAGTATCCATGTTGCCAAGTTTGTCAATAAAAAGGAAAAGAATCTACCGGACATCTCATCTGACAGCAGTCAGAATCTGAGTCTCCCCCAAAAAAATGTAATTAGATAAGTTTTACTCCAAATATTAAGAGATTTCCCTGAATTATCACAGAAAGCTGTCAAAGTTGATGCTCTTTTTTAAATTTAACCTGCGGGATTTCCATCACTCAAGGAATGAAATCAAAGCAACAGCAGAATTTCTGCTGAGAAACCAACTTACAACATAAACCAAAGTTTTCATTCCAAGCATTTGTACCCATGCTGGACCAACCTCAACCCATCACATTAATGAAATGGGTATAAAAGTATTGCTTAAATTGTATATACAGTTGCTTATTTTGCAAAACATTTTGGTATTAAAGGGGTTGAAATATTGAACTTGAATACTGGTTATGGTATGTGACCAGCTGGTAGAACTGGAAGGAGATACTGGAACTGGGTCACTTGATCAACCTCATGGATGGAAACTGATGGAACTAAAAAGGATAGGTATACGTCATGTAAAAATCTACTTATTTCTAAAGGAGTGATTTAACATTAAAATAAAAACAAGTTACACTGAGATAATCTTTTCAATGCCAAAATATTTTGATATTTTAGTCAGTGTGTTTTTCTCAATGCAACAATAACATATTAATTTTATGAACTTTGGACTTATGCTGCCTGCAACACTAACACCCAAGTACAAAATGGCCCAGGATAAGCCATTTAATGGAGCCATGTTTCTTACCTCTTCTTAACATCTTGCTCTAAATGTTTGTAACTTCTTGTTAGGTTTTTGACAGTTTCTGCAAGCTGATTCTTGTCTGTCAAATTGCCAGATATTGTCAGCTCCTCTGCCAGTTGTTGTAGAGTCTGCAGATTTTCTCTTTGCTTTACCATTTCTTCACTCTCCTCCTATGGTAAACATATATAGTCAGATGCAATTAAGAAAAATAGCATGGCTCTTTTTAAACTTCTCTTAATTATCAATGCAAATGCTAGGGAATGAATAAGTATTTTGAATAGGTTATTTTGATAGGATGCCACTAACTGGAATGTTATATTCTGGTTGGTGCTGAGTATCCCAAGTGCTGTTACAGCTGCACCCATCCAAGTAAGGGGACAGAATTCCATTACACTCATCACTTGTAGGTGAAGCAGCTTTCAGGAATCAGTAGTTCAGCCACTCCCTGCAAAATTCTGAGCCTTTTATTTGCTCTGGTAACCACAGCCTTTTTGTGACTGTCCAGTCAAGTTTCTGGTCAGTGTTGACCCTACAGTGCTTATGGTAAGAAATGAGGCAATAATAGTGAGTGAACATCGAGGGAAGAAGCTCTTTCTTGCTACAGATGTAATTTACCACTTATTAGTCAAACTTGGATGACATCCAAATCTTGTTCCATGCAAGCAAGGACCACTTCAATATCCGAGGAATTCTGACTTTATGGTAGAGTGAAGGTCAGCTTAAGATAGTGAGTCTAGAACACTGCTTGGCAAGTTAACATGTTAAATATCTAGATGTTTAATTGAAGCGTACTTGCATTAGTGGTAAGTTACATTTAAAAAGGTTCTAGTGCTCATTTAAAAAAGGATTTTTGGATCACAACTAGAAACACAAAGTTTAGAAGCATCATATTCACCAGTATTTGCTGTGAAAAATAAGCAATGTCTTTATTTGGATCTGCTCTAGCTGCCAGGCTTTGTGATTTACTTTCCATGAACTGTCCCACGTCCTGCACCAATTTCTCAAACTGCTCCATTTTGGGAAGCAGCTTTCTCAACTTCTCTTCCTTCTCCTGCTGGTCATTGCATACTGCTCCCAATTGGCTTTTTAGCTGGTCAAGTTTCTCTTGGAGTGAGGAAGCAGTTGCTCCATCTGCATTTTCAATGAAACCACAAACCATTTCCTGTATTGTGTTGATGCTGCTTTGATGGCTAGCGATATCCTGTTTTAATTTCTAAAAGATTTAAAAAAATAAATTTATTTTTGTATAAGGAAAATAACTACGTACTTTAAAACTTCCGTGTACATGACAATTTTATTTCAGGAAAGTAGCCATTGGTTGTTCCTGTCAGCTGTACTACTTTCATATACACATGAAATACGCATATATGTATGCATATCTATATGTACAGAGATCAGTCAATTGAGTCAAAAAGAGGGAGAGAGGAGCAAAGGTGTGAGGTGGGGAAGATGTAGTGGGGTGGAGGGGAGGGTAAAGTGCGAGAGGACAAGGGAGAAAAAAAAGAAAAGACAAATAAAGTAGTTTTAGGTATTCTGATACTACTGCCAGGATAAAGATGGCTAGTGTAAAATCAAACATTAGCTGTCCAAAAATCTCAATAAATTATAGAACAGTTGTCTCCTAGAAAATCATAATATCGCATCAGGAACAAAGTTATTATAATTTCACCAATAGATTGTTTCACTGCTCTGTAAAGCAGAAGTTTCAGAGAGAACTCACAGTATTTTGGGCAAGGGTATCCTGGACTGCAGCACATGAAGTCAACAAAGTATCCTGATTTTTCAAATTTTTTTCAATGTCTTCCAACCAGTCCAGTAAGTTATCCAAGCCTTCCTGAACATTTTGGGACTGAGAAATTGATATCTGCACCTTCTTACTGTGCTCGGATACCATCTCGGATAGGTTTTTATACCTCTGTGTGACAGAACCTAAAAGGAACAAAATTTTGTTTATGACAACACTTAGCTAAATTTACTCTTTAAAGTTAGAGCTTGATTAAAAGCAGATTCTTTTCACCTTTGGCAGAAGATTTCTAATAAAGCCAGTGACAAAGGGAAATCACTAATAATGAATTTCATTTTGTGCTTTCAATCCAGTTTGAAGAAGAGGTAAGGAGACAGGGACAAGGGCAAATAAGGGTTGAAGCAAGGACAGCAAAGAGGGAGAAGGATAAGAGAAAGGAGAAAAAGGGAAGTAGTAAGATCAAAACAAGGGAAGGGGGTTGACAGCACACAAAGAAGTGGCTATTTGAAAAGAAATTAGTGAAAGGTAGATGGAGAGGAAAAAAGAGGAAGGTGGGAGGCAGAAGCATAGAAGGGGCAGAGATTCTATCATTTGAATAGATTTTTTAAAAACTTAATCTATTTTTCTAATCAACCTGTTCAGAGACAGTATTTATACACCTCTGGGTCGTTGGGACATGGACCAAGGACCAAGGCCTCGTGGTCCAGGGGTAGGGACATTACCCTTGTGCCACAACAGCATCCTCAGATCTGTTCTTTAAAATACCCTTTACCTTCTGGAAATGAGATCAGAAGTGGAAAAAGATGCAAGGACATACTGAATTCACTGGGAAGGTTCTGTCCAAATGAATTAGGAACAAAAATATGCCATTTGGCCCATTGATTCTGCTCCACAGTTCATTGGGGTAATGTCGGTATCCTGCACCAAGTCACCCTTTACTCACACATGGAGAGGCCTTGACACTGATCCAGCTCCCTCAGAACCAGCTCTCCGAGTGAGCAGAACCTCTGATACTCCTGTTCATATCTGTCAGCCAAAAATCCCTGATTGGACCAGATTAACAAACCAAACCAGGAGGTTGATGTCCACCTGGCTGACCTCGTTACAATTACAGCACACCTCTTAGGAAAATATCCCTTCAGTCAGAATTGTTGGGTTTTCATTACCTACCATCTTTATTTTGTCCCCACTAACATGTCTGAAACCACCATCATTTGGCAAGCTCATGTCCATCATGCCTTCATCCACCAAATGAACCCACAAGCTGATCTGCCCCATAAACTAACCAAATAAAACAAACAGTCTGTCAGACAGAAATTAAGAATTATCATTTATAAGCATGGACTATCTTTATTAATTACAGTTTTGGACAAAAGTATTACCTGCAGTTTTTTTGCCTTTGTTTCAGATTCGAGTAAATTCTTTTATTGATTTTGTAGGAGTTTAAAATTATTCTGATATTCAATGAATCTCCTAAGACTTTTGAAACAGTTGGCTGGTACAGCTTTACTCTGACATAATTACTTGCTTCATTATTTTGACGTAAATATGTTACTGTGATTGAGAGGAGTCCCTGAAGAAAATCCCATTTGGTCCTGTTTTCATTTTCACCATCTCCAAACTAGGTAGGATTAACTCCACAACTCTAAATGATTTATGAGCTTCTCATGCAGTACTTTTAAACGACTTAACACTTGAACTATGTGCCACTGCAGCAAAGACATAATTCAATAAATATGCTTTTATGCAATACCAGGGGGATTCTGGCATAACATGCCTGGATCACTACACCGTCCATAAGTTTAAACTTCATTCTGAACATAGCTTGTTTGGAACATTACGGTACTTAAAGCAGTATTGCTATTTTATTTGAATGCGGACTTTAACTCCACACAAGTCTGTGGTCTGAAACAACTGGTTCAGTGAGTCAGTGAGTCAGTGAGTCAGTGAGTCAGTGAGTCAGTGA